GATTTTGCAAAATTTTTAACTTTTGAAACAAATCTTCATCATAAAGATCATACAAATTTACATGTCTTAGAATAATGTCAAGAAGAGCAAAAAATGCTTTCAAATTAGTATCATCCAATGACTTTAACTTGTCACAATAAACCCCAAACTTTTTTTCATTTGAGTTAATTGATCAAACCTTCGTTAAAGCAATTAAATTGCTTAACTACTATATAAATGAAATAATTTGTTCTAAAAGAATTTTTAGGTAATTGTGCATCCTCTAAAGTGGCATTTCATCAAAATGTTTCTTCTGACAAATTATAAATTTCACTAGAAATAAAGGATTAATTTTCATTTAAATGGCAATTTATTTAGCAATATTTATCACATCATTGAATCCAATTTCCCTCTGTGTGTGTGTGTATTAAAAAATAAAATTAAAAAAGCAATCAACCCTTTTACTTCCTCAATAGCAATGTCAATAAGCAAATCATTAGATTGTATGCATTTACTAATCAAGTTAACATCATACAATATATCATATCATATAATCATAGCTACTAAATCATAAATAACTAGAATTCATCACACGCTTTTTCTAGTTTATCAAGATGTACATATCAAACTTGAAAAGAATATAAGTTGCCATTACTATAAGATTTTAACGAGCATTGAAAAGATCCACATACTGTTGGGTTTTTGATATCCAATAAATCCCGGATTATGATGTTAACGTGGGTTAATATTATTTCATTAGGATAGGTCGATGAATGAAATAAGTCCAACAACCAAGTCCATGAGTTACACCTAACTCAATTGTATTCCCTATTGGATGACTTGAATCTTGGCTTGTTCATCTATTTAATGGTCCAACTTAAAGCCTAACCCTAGAGTATATATATGACTATAACCCTAGCCACTTTCTTGTGATGTTTTGAAAATTTTTGAGAGAGAAATCAAGAAATCCCGGCAGCCCCCTTTTGTGTGTGAAAAATAGCCTCTAGAAGTGTCCAAAACGTTTGTTTTACGTGTGCAATTGGTGGTTCCTTCATAGTATACCTTTGTGGTGTCTTCTCCTAGCCTTTATGCCCACAAATCATCATCTTTTATTGTCTTACATAGGTAAGATTGAATAGCAACCAAGGTGAACTAGATTGATTGTGGTTTGACGTCGATTGGATTGGTTGTTGGTAGAGAAATGTACGTTGAACTAAGCCTGAAAATCACCGATTTGAAGATCTTTGAAGAGAGATTCTGCAACACATACCACAAAGCAGTGATAATGAAACGAAATCCCAGATTTTAGGAATCAAGAAAATTATATTTAAGACATGATACTTTTTCCTCTCATCCCTTACCCCTCACATTATTTAAGGCAAGATACTATTTAAGAAAATTATATAACTATTCAGTCACATTATTCTTAGCTTTAGTGCCTTATGCAATTGCTTATCACACCAAGCCAAATGCCTATAATCCATAAATGAAAATTGTTAAGCACTACTCACGGAAATTAGCTACGAAGGAGCCTAAACTATTTGAATCCTTTCTTCATGCTTCAATAAAAATATCTTGGTATGATACGCAATTAGGAACAAAAAATAATAATGCTAAATAATAATCATTATTTGTCTTTTTCGTGTCACTCAACGTGAGGCTCATTGCGGTCACTCAATTTGTACAACGTCAAGACTACCTCTGTCCATGTATTAAAACAAGGTTAAATAACTAAGTGTGATAATTCTTTAATAGCTAAATTTTTCAATTAAGATGACTGAACATAAATTTTTCAATTAAGATGACTGAACACATGGGGAGAAATTATATACAATTAAAGAATTAGAATAAGATTATATTTATTTATTACACAGATTATATCTAATAAGCAATAATCGGAACAAAATTACAACATCGTCATACAATAAATATTTATAGTGCAAGCATTCAAGGCATTTTCCTATTTATAGTATAGAACATGATCAGAAACTACAATAAGCAGGACTTTATTTTTTATTTCAATTTTAGAAGCATTCAACATCATACTCCAACTTACTAGACATAACTTAACAACACCTTAAACAGTGCTATGACTTGTAATTCCCGAACCTGAATCCTTTCTTTCGGGCTCAAACATTTTATTAACTTTCGTACCAGCTTGATAACCCAATCGAATCGTGTCTCCAATGAGTAGGAGAACCGCGAGGCCAAGCCATATATAAACTGATAACCCAATCAAAATTATAATTGTTTGTTTTTCTCTCTCTTTCTCTGGTGTTATAACGGATATTGAAAAGAGATAAGTCACTGCAACTGTTGTAACTGCAATCCAAGCGATCACCATCAAAATACACATAGATATTCCCCTCTTTAGAGGTAAACCACTCATCAACAATAATATGATACTGAGTGATGCAATGAGTCCTGTTGTATTAACAATCAAGAACTGTCTATAATGCTCTGGATGATTATGAGCGAAAATGGATTCTCCGGCCTTGTGAGAATCGGATACTGATATAGTATGACCTTGTGAGTCAACCTTATAATTATCCTGCCATACTCCACTCGGAGGGTTGATTCCAACTTGAAATGCCATGGTTGCACTCAAAGAAGCCATTACCATTATTGCACTTCGTCTTTTCTCCAACCAACCATCTTTCTGTTTAATCATCTTTTCTCTACCATTCTTTTTCACATTTGAGGACAAATCTCGGTGTTCATAGGACAAATTCGAGCCTGGACTAGTTATGTTATGATTAATTTGGACTAATGAATTGTTTTCCATTGATGCAAATGCTCCAACACGTTTCAGAGATTCTTCAATTTCTTCATCCCTCAAATCTGTTCGACTACGGATCAAAACATCCATTGCTGTCATTCCACGAAGATTCTGAGCATTAACTTCTGTTGCAGACTCCATAAGCAAAAAGTTAACTGTCTGGAGACATTTAAAAATATTTAATACATGTTTGGTATACAATATTTTGACATTATACAAAAGAATATTATAGCTTCTCTTTTGTTTTCAATTCTAAATCCTCCCTACCAAATGGTTAATTCCATTTATAAACATGTGACACGAAAAGTTCGGTTATTTCTCAAAATTAAAATGAAGAAAAATGGGTTTGGTTGAATTCAAGTATGAAAATAGAGCTATTGGCATACCTCAACTTGTTTATTAGCTACTGCCAAGTGTAAGATAGTGTTTCCATCACTATCTTTACAATTTGTGAAATCTTGATCTCTAATGGTATTCACCAAGT